TTTAAGAAGCCTCACAATGAAAAGTTCAGGAGTGAACGTGGTGGCTATTTAATAGAATCATGATCTAGATCATGATCTAGATCAGTGCGAAAACACTATGATTTGCAATCTCTCTAAATAATACTTCTTTGTTTTCAATTTTGCGGTATCCACAAATCTTGAATCGACTAAATATTACTTCATTATTGCTGAGAATATCTTTTGAACTTACTTTTTTTCAAGTTTCAATTTTGATTTATCTTTTTTTGTGTGCTCTGTTCGTACTTAGTTATGTTATAGTAAGTTTTTTGAATTATTAATGTTTTCCTTGCTATAAACATTGTATGATTCTTGGGAAAATAAATTGTTATCATTATTATTGTATACGAGAAGCATATCAATTTTCTCGTCATTGAAAAAATTCATGGTTTTCCCTTTATTAATTCACACGAATCGAATGATTTATTTACATACTTGAAAGTGAATTTGACAAATACGTATTCTGTTTATTCATATCACGGTAAACAAATCAATTCATTTCAGTACATTCATACATTTTTTCTTTACTATTTTCATTTTCCAAACATTTATGTTCCATTGAAATTGGCTTTTGAACATCCATATTTATACAAAATGCATGGGCGTTCACATCTACTTGCGAATTTTCAAAAGATGTATGGAGGTAATGTAACTTTGAGTTCAAAGATATTGGTTTCTACCTTTTTGGTAGAACATAAATATTAATGATTTTTCGGAGACAAACGTCGGGAAATACATGTGTTGTAATAAATAGCTGAATTTATTATTACGGTGACTACAAAACTAGATGAAAAAAACTAGAGGTCCATATTTGAAAAATAAAACTCATGATGGAATATAATTACTGAAACGTCGCGTTGTAAATTGGTTCATATCAGGTTATAATAAATAGAGAAGAGTATTAAAAGTGTACCTGCCTTTTTTTTATTCGANAAAGGTTCATTCAAAGTTGTCATTTATTTCTAGATTTTGCCAAAAAAAGTTGATACAAGTACTAAATATGTAGCACCTATAACACTACTGCTGAAACTACGGTGTGATAGAAACGCGTCTAGAATAAAAAATTAGTTTGTGAATTTTTTTATCACGGATCACCTATAACAGTTGATTAATGACTCGACTTTGAAAAAATAACCTGTATAAGAAACCGAAATCCTTCCATGAGCTCAATTTTCAATTTCGAACATCAGTAAAAAATCTGAGTAATTATTATCCCTGTTTGGACTCCTCAACCGAATTGCTACTTTTAAAAGAAATTTACATTTGTGAAAAATACATGAATGAGAAAACGTTATCAGGTATAGTTACTGAGAACCCGGAAGAAAGTTCAATGGTTCTTTTTGTTGAAAGAAATAAAGGTATTCTCATATACATATGTATATTATGGTTTGACGCCACATTCCAAAACATTTCTTTTAACATTTCATACAGTTTTCACTGCCCATAGCTGTATTTTCAAGATTCTATGCTTTCCGGATCCATCCATTCATGGAGTTCCACTCTTCGCAGCACAGATATAGGGAATAATATTTTAGAGAGAACATTCTGAAATTTTTCTGAAGCATAATGAAGCTCACTTTAACGGTACTGCATTCAAGATTTGCCGATGATAGACTTGTCAGACCGTTGATGGCATGCCTTTACTGGTCTGTCGTCTAGCTATTCCGCCGCGCCGGTCGGCAGGGAGCCGATATTTTAGTCAACGTCCCGAAAAATACGGTATTATAATAGAATAATTGTGGTAAGCAAAATCCAGGTGACGTTAAGAAAGCGAAACATGGATTCATATGCCCACATGGATGGGAAGTATATAAATGCCTGAAACATCAACCTATAGGTAGGTTTTCAAAAAGGGCAGCAAACTGCCTTATAATGTAGTACATATATTAGCTTCATAAAAGAGACCAGACGTCGGAAAACATTCACAAAAGAACTTTCAGACCAAAAAATCTATACTGCTTCTTAAAAAAAACAATCATATTTGAAAAGTGCATTTTCAGGATGATCAAAAAAAATTGATTTAATAGTATTAGTTCTATTTTATCACTTGAGATTAAAATGTTAAAAAATGAAATAAGTCACAAATATAAATACACCTGCTTTTTATGAAACAAAATAATGCATATATCACATAAATAATACCGAAAATTTAAATTGGTATTTGTTATCTTGTATATGAAATATAACAAAAAAACATGAAATTGGACTAAAAATCATCTGAAGATACTATTGCAAATGATAAAGGTAGTCCTTAAATTCTATGATAGAATACCAGTTGAATATGTATATTTCCAGGTCTTAAAAATGCACCTTTCAAGTTTTGAACCGAATAAGAAATGCAGGTCAAGTCTAACACAATAATTTTCTATATTTTGAAAAGATTAACACAGGATAAATACTGTCTCATGATATTGAAAATTAATTCGACACACAGAGTTCAACATTTTTAGNAGAGAGGACTGGATCCTCCGGGAGAAGGAAATATTGAGAGCAGATAGTTGTTAGTTCACAGATGGATCAAAAACACCTTTCGGTTCTGGTGCAGGTGTTTTTAGTCACAAACCCAGGACAGAGATATCTACCTACCTAGGAACCTATGCGACTGTATTTCAAGCGGAAATTTACGCTATTGAATTATGTGCGGAGAGATTGGAAGAATCCAACCTCATACACAAGTCAATAAAAATATTCCCGGACAGTCACAGTAACCTAACTTTATACTCATATCATTAGACATTGGACATACTATATATTCCACAAACAGAAATTATCCTTACTAAAATGACTGAACTTACCGTGGATAATCCTACAATTACTGTTTCGTATAAATTTCAGAATGGCTCGAGTTTATCTTCATTATTTTCAACATCGGTCCTGACTTTGAGAAATCTCAGAAATGGTTGGGCTTATGAACTGTTTTGTTTTTAATTGAAGAGACCAAAATCCGGGCTAGTAAGTCGTAGTTGAATGGAACCTGTATTACCAAATGTTTCGTCTGATACGGCGGCACACATAATCAGTGAGTTGACTACAGAACGAAAGTTACATAAACGTGTGCACTCGTATTTATAATTTCAGAGGGTGGTGGGTGTGATGGTAGGGCTCATTTCACTTCGATTGTTCCGTACTTTTGTTGGTTCGTTCTGATTAGTCCGTACTGTTACTAAGTTGTTCTGATTGTTCAATGTTGTTCACAGGTATGCTACTGGCGGAGATGAATTCCAGCTTATTTCTGGCTTTCTTGAGTACTGGATACTACATTCTCTTGACTTGTATACCTTCTTCGTTTCTGTTGAAATTGTTGGGATGTTTATAGATCTTAATGTCCTCACTGAATGAAGGCGTGCGCGGTAATGCACTGAATTATATAGGACAACACTGTCTAAGTATTTTATTACGTGGTCTGTTTCAACAAGGACATATTCTGTAGTTGCAGATTTCTCCAGTGTACGAGCTGGCAGCTACGCTTTTGTCCTTGTATCCTGATGTTGATGCTGCGTTTGGTAAACTAAATCACAGGAACAGGGAATCCTGTAAACACCGGCGAATGTCAAAGGCTCTCTTTTATCCGTGGCCGATCTGATAGTGTACATTGCTCCATTATATGTACTGGAGTACCTGATTTCAGTAGGTGTGTTCATTCAATACATATCTGAGCGCTCGATTAACTTGCTTCACTGTGTAAGCGTTCGTTTATGCAGATCTATTGTCTCAGTTACATCTGCTCTGCGTTCGGTATTTACGAGAAAGTAAATAAATGTGATCGCTTAGCTCCGAAACCAACGTTAGGATTAGACAAATTTTTTAGTTGTCGCTTGTTATATTTGAAAAGGCTGGTTAGGTTAGGTTAGGCATTTTTAGCAAAAGTTTGGGTGGAATGTTTGGATCTTACTCGTCACCACATAATATTGTCAAAGAAGAGTTCACGACACATTCTCATTGACAAAATAATACAGGAACAACAAAAAAAAATTCAGGAAATTTTGTCAGCTAGAATTTAGTATAGACTAAAATTTTTTGTAGGGCAAACTGTTTTTGAAAAATTGGCGAAAAAAAAAATTACTTTTCTCTTCAACCTCAGTGTCAACGACTCTTAGTAGTATGTTATACTATAGCTTTTGCAAACAACATATTATATTTGATCTTTCTGCTTATTGGCTTCTGTCTATAACAAACTTTTGGACATTCATCGAGGACTAAGCCAGTCTAATCATCGGAAGAACCAACTAGTCCTCAGCTGTTTAAAAACTGCCCCGATAAGTTTTGTTGACAGTGATTACAAGCAACATCATTGATGTCACAGTTCGACAATTACGGGTTATTTATCATACTTGTGATTCAAGATTTCAGCAGGATTGATCCAGTGGACCAACGAGACATTGTCATTGTCACCTCCGGTTGATACTGAATTCATGGCTTTTGGAAATCCGTATCTGTGACCGAAGGATGAATTGAAGAATTATTTACCAACAGAAAGTAATAAATCAAATTGTTTGTGGCGATACTCATCATATATGTCATTTTTATAAGATAATCGAAACCAAGGTAGGACGGTAGCCGGTCGGGTTGACGTGGGTGATTTGCTCCACACACTCAATCGACCGCTGTGTGAACCCGTGGTAGGAATCACACGTTAAAAAGTGAGACCTTGTTAGTCCTTAGTTCGCACAAGTTTCGACTTTTGGGAGTTGTCGTTCATATGGGAGCGACAGCTGGTTAACGGAAAAACAGATTTTAACAGATTTTTAAAATCATTAAAAACAATCTTTTACCTCCGGCAAAAAGAACTAAATATTGCTAATTCAATATACATATTGGAAAATGTAATGTGTCACGGTGGTAGTGGTCATTTCATGATTTATTCTATTTTCAACTCTAATTTTTACTCCATTTATATACACGTTATCGTCGAAGTAGGCACTGCCTTCTTATTAATTCTTAATGTAGCCTTCATGCAATTTAAATAAATCACTTTCACTCACCTGTTGATACGGGTACCCCGGATAACTCATTTTCGTTTGAGCCTGAAACAAAATATTTGTCATTTGCACTCGTCTAAACTTTACATGAATAATAATGAAATGTTTATTCAGACGATTGTAAATAAATCTTGATCACAACCACACCTTATGTCGGTGGATGCATATAACCCTATTGAACAAATTTCTCTCCTACCGAAAAGAGCACTTTTTTGGTACATTCTGTGAAACGTAATTAAAATGAAAATACAACTTACCTTGATCTGATCAGTAATAATCTGTCAAAATAATTTGGATTAGCAGTTTCAGCTTGACGTAAAGAAACAACTGTGAACAGTGTGAACTGGTATGACTACTTCCCTTTTAATATTTGTTTTATTTTATGCGCAGTCCCCTAACTTATCAAGAGCCACATGAACGGTATACCAGTTTGTGTGTTTGTGATTAGCTGTGCTACAGAAGCGTGTGCAATCGGGTATTTTCGGAATTCAGATTGAAGTCACCAGCTGTAGTCCGTAGGCCAGTTTCCACTTTTACAAGTTTATCGAATTATCAATCTCAATGGTGACTATAGAACTTTTTAAGCTGTATAACTACAATATGAATATTATTTTTCTTTACTTAAACCCAGATCATAAACATTATAACCAATGTTTATTCAAAACTGAATGAATTTTTCGTCTGAAAGTAGGTATAAATATATTTGAAACCTATTGGTGACTTTGCAAGTTTCATGAAATTGAAATAACAATAAAAAAATCAAAATCTGTAATGATAATAATAATAATTACCCATTACCAAAAAGAATTTGATACGTTGCATGAGCTCATCGTGCAATTCCAAAGATACTTTGCGGTACCTGACAAAATAGTAAAATGCCCTGAACAACTGATGAAACTCTGGCGAACCATAACATCAGAGTTAAACAGAGCGGTTCACTTTAGAAAAGGAAGTATTTCAGGGCAATCCTCTTCGTTTTTGCAAATCACCTTTTCTCCCAGAAATACCGGAAACCGATCACCCATTTGTTTCATATAGATAACTTTAAACTTTATGTTTCTGGAGAAAATGATATGGGGCGGTGGAAGAGTACACGCATGTTATCGGTATGAAATTTGGAATAGGCAAATGTGCAGTAGTCCATCACAAAGGAGGATGCCGTACTGATCTTACTCTATTTCTTTGGAGAAGTGAAGGGGACTCAGGAGAAGCTGTATCAGTTCAGTTCGAGGTAAAGACTCGAAAAATGATACATCTCCATAGAAGTTTGCACTCCAAATCATCCGTTGTTTTACGGTTTTACTTCCCCCGACAACAGGAAGACACCGCGAGACACCTGAGACCCTGATGCACTTGCTGTCGGAATTTTCAGTATATGCGGTCTCAATCGACACAACGTAGCTCTAAGATGGATTTATTGCCAACTTCAGCACTTCTACGGTATTGCTGAGACACCGAAAACTATTGGAACTCTGTATTCCCTACTATCAAGCTAATACAAGCTGATCTGATAAGTCTGATGTAGTTCTTGTCGACCATCAGAGTAAGACGATATTCATCATTTAGTTTTCAGTTCCAGTGGTGAATATTTTCCGAAAAACGGATGGAATAATGAGATCTTCCTTCGGAATTCGCTGACTCTATTCAGACTAGGTACTCTTTCTCTCTACTTTGGACTATCAAGATTATTTCGGCTACGCAATGAGGTAGAATCTTGACCAGACAAGACATTGTATCTACTTAGGGCGCACTATTATCAGACCCAGTGATCACTCACCTCACGGTATGAGGAGTGGTTATTAGTTGGTTATGCCAGCTTCGGGTAAAACCTATTAGGTAAAATAATAATAATCCTTCATTTTATTATCAAAAAAACAAAAGTGTGTTTAGAATGAGTTAGATTCCAAGTCTAAATTATATAACTGAGTAGAATCATAAAACAAACATGAAAATGAGTCAAATATTTGTTTGCTTTTATACGAAATCGTTCACTGAATAAAAGCAATGTGAAGATAAAAAGTCCTTATGTATGTAGTTTCCTCTTTGGTTTGATTAAAATTGTTTCTGTGTTTCTGAATGCACATTACTTCCCTATATATAGACTTGGATACTAGCCCTTGAGTTATACTGAGCACTTGTGACTTTTCAAACGCAATCACCTGACTACCTTCTCCGAGTATATTTTTCGCTACCGCTGAATTATTCGTATGCCCCAGGTAACAATATGTCTTGTGTTCTGAGAGCCGTGTACTTACACTTCTTTATGTGGTTCCAATGTAGATCGATCCATAGCTTCAGAGGGTATACCGGAATTTTTGTAGATCGCTCTACATTGAAACCAGAAAGAGAAGTGCAAGTACTATGCTCTTTGAGAAATTGTCGCCTGGGACATGTATTCAAGGAATCCGTTAATTTACTTTTCCCCTAGTGAATCCATACACTTCGTATCAGTATGTCTCCTTCAAATAAATAATCGATTGAACTATAACTTATATATCTATATAATTTATCTCAGCCGCTTTAGTTGAATCATAAAACAACTTTATAAAATATCATAAAACAACTTTAAGTTGTTGTGAATATATATTGTATTGTTNACGGCTTTCACTTTTTCAAAAGTTGGGAAAATTTGCTGGTGGGGTTGGGAAAATTTGAATTCCCTCCCCCCTGGTTTTTCTTTTCGCTACGGCCCTGGATCCACGATACACAGATCACTTAATCCTCGAATATTAACGATAAATGAGGCTCCCTAAGGTGAAATGTCATCACCTTTACTTTCAGGCTTGTCATTTTCAAAACAGTTGAGTGGTGTAGCGTAGAACCACTGATGTTACCTTGTCGGGTCGAAACAGCGCTGTCTGGTGATGGATCACAAATTCAGAAAGTTGCCTACGGATGTTTGTTGTACAAACTGAATAAGAAGAAATGGTTTTCGTTTATTTCAGTGTTCATAATTGAAAGTAGTACGTCTTGGATGGATTTGGCGCCGACAGGAGATGATCTGATTAAAACTAATTTAGATCATCAATGGTGATGATGTAACGCATATCAAGAAAACTGTTATAGCTCTCTGTAATTTTGTTATGAGCCTTTTTCCTGAGAATAGTACAACGAACGTGTCACGAGAGGCAGCACTAGTAGTAGGGACAAACATAAACCATTGTATATAGACTATATAGGATTAGTCTATATACAAAGCATAAACTCTCATGTCCCCGGTAACGGATGAACAACTTTTTCATCCAGGCCACCCCAGCCAGGTAGAGGTATCCCGTGAAGGGCGGCACTGATGTCTGAGGACTACATACCACCATCCCCTCAGTCATGAACACATTTGTCCTTCTTCGACAATACTCAGCCAAAAGGGTAAGGGAGCTGGACTCCATCCTGATTGAAATCAAGAAGACGTCAGTGAATTGGGTAACTAGCAGTCGCTGATAACCAGTCGGCTGAATCATATCGAAGTGGGGATGTACTCCAAAATTGAATTACAAAGACGACTGTCAGCGACTGCTACCCAGAGTTCTGTTGGTAATCACATGAAATACTGACATCGTACTAGAATCGCCCTCTGGTGGTCAGGTTGAGTACTACAAATTTTAGAGTACACAAAAATGCCAGTTCTGAGCTTCTATGGGCTTTGTATTTTTTGACATTTACAACCGATCGTCATACTTTCTTGTTATCCCGACAAAAAGTAGAGGTGAATCATTGAGGTGAATATTGTGCAATTCATTCAGTTTTACCATCTTGAGGAAGTTTAGAAAGATGACAAATGTAAGTATTAAAAATTTTCGATACTGGGATTTTCCGCTTGTCCACTATAGAAATTTTTTCCAGACCGGATATCTGCAATCAATTACAAATTCCCAATTGTAGACTTCAAAGATTGAGAATGATCGTTCTGAAAATGTCTTTTCAAGCGCGGATCGTCAGCTGCCTTTCCTTTCTAGCGGNTAAAAACATACACACATTGATGAAATCAGTCACAAATATAAATACACCTGCTTTTTATGATACAAAATAATGCATATATCACATAAATAAATCCGAAAATTTAAATTGGTATTTGTTATCTTGTATATGAAATATAACAAAAAAACATGAAATTGGACTAAAAATCATCTGAAGATACTATTGCAAATGATAAAGGTAGTCCTTAAATTCTATGATAGAATACCAGTTGAATATGTATATTTCCAGGTCTTAAAAATGCACCTTTCAAGTTTTGAACCGAATAAGAAATGCAGGTCAAGTCTAACACAATAATTTTCTATATTTTGAAAAGATTAACACAGGATAAATACTGTCTCATGATATTGAAAATTAATTCGACACACAGAGTTCAACATTTTTAGGTTATATCCTTTCGTGGTAAAATTTTGGATAGGCTTCCACCCTCCGATTTTGAAAAAAAAATGGATGTACTTACGTATTTTCACGAGTAGATTACGAATCTGAAAGAAAAAAAAAACGGTTTTCCCCCTTATTTATACCTAAAACATGTTTCTGTGGATGAACAAATTGCTATCTGAACCTGGATATATTGAAATACCAATTCATCAATAGAATTTTAACTTGAAACTCAGAGTTTCGGTTAGATACATGATGATCATAGTGACAGTTGATTGAGTTGAGAAAGAATGATAGTTGTTCAATTAAACACAGAATTAGGAGTTTACTCTTCAATTCTATCAGAAATTCACAATAAAATGTCATAACATTTCCAAAATGGCGCTGTAATGACTTAATACTTTCTAGATACGGTATTAGCAAATACCACAAATCTTGACTTTTTACATGCTATTCTTCGATTCTGAAGAAAGAAGAATATTTAAAAGAGAATATTCCATATTCAACAAGGAGTAAATATTGATGTTGGATTACAAGGTCTGAAGCTAAACTGGACCAGATTTTCACAGAATTGATAAAATCATTGATATTAAAGATATGAAGTCTTCATTCCTCATGATAATGCACGAGGACCAACTTTTTCAATATTTTACACCCAATGCAGCTAGGTTGATTTTTCATTATACAAGCTGGAACTAACATTTTTTGATAAAAAAAATGTGTATTTGTGTCCGTTTCTGGACATGTGGCACATTTGTCAATAAAAACAAATATACCAAACAATTTTTTATTTTCTCTACTTGCAATATACAGCAATAGGAAATATATAGTAAATCATTTCAAATTTTAATCTCTTATGGAAACCTATATATAAAATTTTAATACATATTAAAATAGTGAAAAGCGGATTCATCGAACAAGGGCAAGTAAAGTTTTCTTCAAATCCGACGAAACTTCATCCTGAAAATGAAAAAAAAAAATGAAAAGTGATCTTGCACAATTAGTTGATAAGATAGAGAGAAAGCGGAAAAGGCAGGAGTAAAACACAGAAACAGATGAATTATCACAACTGGTCAAACAAATTGAACTAAAACAAACATACATGAAATTCTGATTTTAGCCGACAATGGCCAGAAGGGCTTTTTTGTAGTCTCCAGATGTGTCATCCTGAAAATAAAACATGCTTATATGAACCACAATACAAACAGGCCAAAAAACAAACAAAGCCATGAACAAAAGCAAAATTACAAACATAACTGAAATGTTAACCAGTTTCTCTCCAGCTGAATTTAGAGTATCGAATAACAGAAATAATTGATATGAAAAAGAAGAATTATTATTTTTACTAACCGCTATTCTTTCTGATAGGCTCTTTCCATAAGCAGCCTCATAGGCTTCTTTGATATCCTCCAGGTCAATTTCTGATCTTGATGCAACTATTCGAATTAAAGTCCTATCATCTGTGCCTAGCCCTTTCATTGCATCATGAAGCCTTGTAGCTAAATATAAAGTTCTATCTCGAATACATGCAATGAGTTGTAACATGGCCTCCTTGATATTACCTATTTTGAGAAAAATATTGATCACGATTCAGTTACTTCAAGTATATCAGTTTTATTATAATTTGTTCAATTGAATCAATTACTAAAGTTGAAGTTTTGTGATATGATGGCTATATATAATAAAATATGGAAAACTATCATACATTTTCGTCAGGAATTTGAATGCCTATTTAATTGAATTCAGATATGAAAAAATAAGAGTGGAGATAATGTAGGCAGATTGAAAACTAGGACAAACTCCAACTTATCATTACGTTATGAACCGAAGACCGTTATGACCGAAGTCATAACCTCATTGGAAATATTTAATATCTAAATAACTTTCCAGTTTTTTTTTCTATAGCCCTTTTGCCAATATTGACTGGTTTTCAGTAAATAAAAAAGTTACTACAATTCTAACAAACTCACCAGAGAATTCATTCTCGATGGCCTTCTCAATGGAATGTCCCACGATTTCCTCATATTTATCAAAAATAATTCTCAACTGGGGTCTGTTGCGTTGGCACAGAACAGCAGTAAATGTGGATTCTTCAGTTCCAGCAAAAAGAAGTTCTCCTGCTTGGAGTAATGCTTGAGCATCATTGAATGCAGCTTCCTCATCAATAACATCTGATTCATCCCTGTTACCCTAAAAATATTACGTTTATACCAGAAGTTCAAAGCTATAGACCTAAAATCAAGCATGAGTCCCTTTACTGATGTGTTCAGAGCTCCTCAATTCACACTGGAGAGCCTCTCAAACAAAAAAATCTCTGTATCAACAGCATAATATGTATAACATAAATTGACAACTAAATATGATTTCTGAGGATCCTAAACCCATACAATTTCAAAGCATCATTTTATATTATAATCGTGGCTGAAGGCTTTACAGAAAACGGCCCAGGCGAAGCTCTCTGACTTACAGAGACAGGCTTGTCTGGCTATCAGTGGTGCCATCAGTACCACACCGTCAGCGGCCATAGAGATCCTTTTAGATCTACCTCCTCTCCACATTTTTCTGGAGAAAGAGGCTAGATGGACTGCATACAGACATGTGCACATTACCGATTGCACAAATCAATTCAATGCAGAGTGCAACAGACTGTTGGTTGACACTGGAAGTCACAGCATTCTGGAAATGACCTCTGACTTTATGCCCCCAACTGTCAACTACGAACTGCCTTATAAAGTACTGTTCCCGAGAAGAGAGGACTGGATCCTCCGGGAGAAGGAAATATTAAGAGCAGACAGTTGTTAGTTCACAGATGGATCAAAAACACCTTTCGGTTCTGGTGCAGGTGTTTTTAGTCGCAAACCCAGGACAGAGATATCTACCTACCTAGGAACCTATGCGACTGTATTTCAAGCGGAAATTTACGCTATTGAATTATGTGCGGAGAGATTGGAAGAATCCAACCTCATACACAAGTCAATAAAAATATTCCCGGACAGTCACAGTAACCTAACTTTATACTCATATCATTAGACATCGGACATACTATATATTCCACAAACAGAAATCATCCTTACTAAAATGACTGAACTTACCGTGGATAATCCTACTAACAATCTCTTCAGAGTGCCTGATGTATCTCCTTTGATATCAGCTTCTAGGGAGGTTTGATACACTGAAAGATATGTCTAATTAAGGGATATCTGTAAGATCAAGTATAGCTGGATAATAAAATAATGTCCAACGTACTTCCAAATACAAATATTGAAGTGGACTGATCAAACTCTTTTGGATTGTACATTTTGGCTTTCTATTTCACAATCATTATACATAAAAATGTGGGAAACTTCCGAAGAGATGAAGAATTAAATTACTTTCCAAAAATTTTTTTTCGAAGATGTATGTAGACAAATTCTAAGTGCAATTTAATTTTGAGTTGCATCGTATCATTGTATCTCAGTAATTTTCAAACTTTTGGATACTTGTAGAATAGACTTAAGTTTTTGGTATGGTAAAGTTTGAGAATCAGTTTTGATGAACTTTCAACTCACAAAAAGGTGAACATCTAGGACTACGAATATCAAAAGTTATCAGTTGAGAAACGGAGATGGTAGAATACCAGAAAATCATTATCATAGTATGACAGATGTCAATCTAATAAATTTCAGTTACAGTATAGAAGATTTCGATGGAGAATGTATGGGGAAATCGGTAATGGAATAGTTGAATAATTTTGACCACTGTTACACAAATAGCCTCCAGGTTTTAATTACAGACTGTTGATATGAGCTAATTGGTATAGCCTAAAAATGATATATAAAAAAATAGAGCAATGTTCAGATTCATGAGTCACGTCAAAATCAACAAGATCTGTTCATAATGAATTATGAAAATCTGAAATCCACTTATGTGAAAGGATTGAAAATGACTAGTTGAATATGAATGATTATTATTAAAAGGATTGAGACTCCGATAAAAATGAATTACTTACATCCTTCATATGCATTTGAAATGCGAACTACGGTATCATTATCATGAGTCGCTAAGATTTCAACTAATGTATTTTCATCTGTGCCCAATCCACTTATAGCTTTATGGAGTTCTTTGGCTTGAAATTCTATTGGTTCCGTCATGAGGGCAATTATAACGTCTTCAAAGTTACCCCTAAGCTCACTCTTGAGTTCATTAATCAAATCCTGAAAGAAAATACAATTTGAAAATTAAATTAATAAAGACTGTAATTTTGGATATACGTTGCAATCTGAAATTTAGATAATAGTATTTTTACACCCCTGGATTTTTAGAATTAGTGTCAAACTTGTGAATTAACAACTTTACTTAATCATTCAAAAACACGACTGATCTTTGCAACTCTGTGTTCTTGAAAATAACTTCTTCCGTTCTCGAATAATGTACGGGTTGGGTTGTTCATCATTCCCTCCAAAATGATTCATCATTCATTCCAGTTCATTTTCGAACTAAAACTGCAGACATGCCTTTCATCAGGACCGGATTGACACCAGTATATTTAGTGAGATTATACGAATATTATTATTGAACATAATTACCAAAAAATGAATATTTAAAAATGAAATCTTGAAATATTCATCTCTCTCAACTACCTACACAGTAGGTTCTGGTAAACACCTGCCGAAACACAACTACTTCCCCGTCTGGATATTGAATTGTATCCGACAGACATTTAGGCAAGATACCTCACAGGTTAGTCTCGCAGATGTTTCTCGTTCATCCAGCAGCACGACCATGCTGAAATTATACCTCTCATGAGTGTAGGAAAGATCCAACCTAAACAGCAAAGTGCTAAGGGTTGAATAATTTCAACGCGGCTCAACTGCATATATGAAACCTTCGTTTAAGAGAAAGATTGTTACCCAGTAACAGCTCCATCTAGTGAACAAAGCCCCAAACGGGAAAGCAACATTCCAAATACCAATATTTGTGACAGGGATAAAAAAATATTTATTTTCTAATACATATGTATCTCTCGTCAATACAATCTTCAGACTGTATTGATCTCTGTTATGTCTGTAACATACTTGAATACTGCTGTGGGAGCCTAATTATACATTTTCAGATAGGTAATTTATGTACAAGTAAAAAATATTATAAACATTTCCTTACATTTACAAATTCATACAAGATAAACAATAATATAAAATATAAAAACCAGAATGTCGCAAATGTTTGGAAACTTTTCTCTCGTGCATGTGGTTGTTGTCAATTTCAAAATCTCGAATTCATTACTTCTCTTCTCTCACTCAATAATATTGAAAGGAATTAAGGAGTATTAACAGCTTTCATGATCTTATACAGTATGTCTGGGCAGAAAGCATCAAGTGTTTTGAATAAAAGTCTGACATATATTGATGCAATCTCTTTACTATTTATTCATACAAATGACGAAAATATTCATATTAAATAAAAAAAAAGAAACTTACAGAAAAATAGTCAATGTACAAAAAAATCAAGTTATAACAGCTTATAATTGGAAATAATTAACGACATTATAGAAACTTACTTTTCTGCATCAGAATTTGTCAACTATTCAGTGAAATCTAGAAGATAAAAAAAAATTGGTTGGTTGGCCATCCCTTTGAGGGAGCGTTTTCATTTGTTTATTTTTCAACGGTTTTTTTAAGGATCGTTATTATTAGAATTTTTCTCTTCAGCTGTAGACGTAGACTGTTTTTTGTAATATTTTGGCTTTTAAATGTTGTTGTAAATCATCCCCTGAAAGAAAAACGTCGGCCGTCTCTGGTCTTCGCTGATCGACTATGACTTTGTCAAGGTCGTGCTCAACCCCACTTGTATTTCCCTATCCTTAGAGGTGCCACGTCGGTTCGAGAATATTTTTTTCGGCTTCCAAAGTCTCCCACATAAGCACTACCAACAAGCAGAGGAGCTAGTCTAGTTCGGGAAATGCAGGCAAATTGAGTTTATGAGCCGACAGATATTTGATTATTTGTCTGAAGTTCAATTGGAGTTTATGTGTTGTATTGACTGTGAAGTAGTGAAATAAACGTAACAATATCATAACATAAATGAAAAGTATATTAAAATACATTTCTTTCCAGATTAAGCCGTCCCAATCTACGGTATTCAAAATTATTTCATAATTACTACTAAAGAAGTTGCAGAAGTGGGAGAAGTGTTTTCAATAAATTTATCCCATGTTTCAAAGTCTATCTATCAAAAAACACCAAGAGAGGCACCTAAAATTTTGAGATGTAAGTCTATATAATGCCCTCTCAATAATTTAACCAGTATTGAGTGGATTTTAGTATTTTCAAAAATTGTAGGATGAATTTTATGGGGGGATAATAGAAATCAGATACTAACAAACTTTTAAAGTTACTCTGTAAATGGTTACGTTAATTGATAAATAATACTGAGGGTAAAGTTCGGTAAAGTTCATAGGCATGAAATAGGGATTTATTTAATAAACATCCAACCATTCTTAACTGCGACATTAAATTCAATCCATTTGAATTTCTATTGATAGATTTCAACTTCTTTTCCAATGTTTTTTTTAAATCTTTGAGTAAATTCAATTTTGATTAAAAGCTTTTATTTAATTTGGCATGTATGTATGTTAACAAATCTTGCAAGTTTAATTTGACCCACTTCCCGGTATTTGATTGACCTGAAATTTTGCATGCTGGTCCAGAACCGATGACAATGCATGTTAATCATAAACGTGACCTGATGCTGATGCCAGGATCGGNTTTTATTATTTCATATTTGAATTTATTAAGATAAGGTTGATATGATATCCCTATGATAGGTATTCAATTAATAACAAATATAAGAATCGTCATAAAATAGTCACCACATTCCCAAATCCGAAGGAAATTTTTTTCTGATGCAGTGGACTTATTTTCATTTTATAAAATATTGGCTTCGCTCGGTTATGAGATTTAATAAAATTCACTCAAATCCGAAGGAAATTTGTTTCTGATCCAGTGGACTTCTTTTCATTTTATAAAATATTGGCTTTGCTCGGTTATGAGATTTAATAAAATTCACTCAAAGAAAAGTTTGTTCACAACTACCAACTTCAATTTTGAAATAGTTAATTGAGTACCTATCTACCTAAAGACAACACAAAACAAACTCCGCAACCTCATCGGTTTGTGAGGCCGGGCCGATTGAATTTATTTTGCCGCGCAGTAGTTTTAATTTTGCTGTAACTTCTAAGATATTCATTCAAATTATATGGTGTGACCGACCAGCAAGGGTAATGTGCTTAAAATGATGAAAAATTTGATGAGGATTAATACTGCATCCTTCCAACATTTTTCTTAATTGACACATTATGTATGACCATTTTTCAAACCTACAGTAAGCTATCTTTAAAAGATGGACATTTCTATGGACCTACACCGCTACCCCGTTTCGTACGGGTAGAATCGTCTACCCGATTTGAAATGGATAACACCGTCATAGTTCAAGCAATTTACATCAAACACTGAAGGATTCCACACATAAAACTTTTCACGATTCTACAATTCAGTATAAAAATCCGTTTAAGTTTATCGTGTTTAGAGAGACGCGGCGGGGGACTTTGAATTATAATAATATTTGGTGATCAACCTGAACAATCGTTGCAAACGTTTCAACAATAAAAGTGTAAATTTCAATCCAAACAATTTATAATTATTAGGTTCATTATATGATACAATAGTTTCATAATTTATGGCGTTATAAAGATTACAGGAATACGAATTTTACAATTTTGACGTTTATCCCAATCTTTTATGTTCGTTCAGATTAGTTTCAACATCACAGCAAAAGTTCTTTGATGAAGCAAATGAATTGGAACTCATCTGCAGAAAATGAATGGCAATATTTTTGTCTAAAATAAATGGAGCGATATTATGGAGCTAACATAAACTCGCGCCGTATTTCATAAGAAAAAGATATGAAATCAAAATTATTCATATACATGAAATGTTAAAAGTATGAATAAATAAAAAATAGTACTAAAAATAGTAGCACAGTACTTGCGCCACTTTTTTCCGTTAATAACACGTTTTCTGAGCAGTTTCTAGATCAAGTAGAAAATGACTAGCAAAATTCTTCCAATTGTTATGATTTCTACAAAAGTTGAAGTGTTTAGTTCATATTGCATCTTAGACAACCAAGTATTGGGTTTTTGTAAGTTGTTTGGTTATATACTTATTTTATTTTAGATTTCTTAGTAGGGAACGTATTTAATCCACCAAGGCAGTTTTTGTAGATGAGAAAGTTATTGTATAGCGAAAAACGTGTCACGGGTTTTGTAAAACCCTTTATAGTGAAAATCATACAATAAATTGTATTAATGAGTTGAAAAAAGCTTCCATAAAAATATCTATCTACAAGGCAGAAGTACTTCTATCAGCAAAGAAACAGTGCAGGAGTATCGTGGACAAGGGTATCAACTCAGAAAGTTCAAGCTAAATGGTATAACAGTTCTCACACATCACAAATTTCAGCATGAGCTCACAGCCATTAACAGAAAAGTTCAAGTGCTGCAAAAAACAGTTTTGCATTACATAATAAAAGCTGCCATCACAAAAGCTGTTTACTTCGAGCTTCGAATAACATTAAACGTTCAAGTAGAAACACAAAAACTACAAAATGTGCACCAGATGTTCGTTAATGAGGCTATCAAAAACGAATCTGAAATTTCCAATCAATTGATACATTTATNACCATATTTTTTGTATATCAAGCGCCCGTCGCTTTATTCACAATAATACTAGTATTTTTCGTTCGTTATTGTTTGAAGCTTATTTAAAAAAAAATAACTTTTTCGATGTTCTTTAAAAGCGTTTTTTAAGTTTCTTAAACTATATTTATTTTTGGTGTCATCGGCAACGATCACATTGGTCATTAGCCTTGTGTCCTGGGTAGGTAATGATGATAACTTTTTGAGCCACCTAAGGAAGCATCTTGGCTATACGCAGTCCGTCAGCCATGTAACGTTGCTTCATGCCATGTAACGGTCGATGTCAAAGCTTGGCTTTACAACTGACCACCATAGGGAATCTTGTTTATCTTTGATATTCCATCCCATAGATGGCGCCTTCATAAGGGGAGATATGTCAGCGTCCTCACTCGGGCTTGAACCTTAAGAACAGTTGAGTCCAGCAATGCATTTATAGTTCACCCTAGCAACATTGACGAGACCTATGACGGGTCGAAACAGCGC